TGCTAATTCAGAGAACAAACTTTTTAGTACAGCATCTCCTTCATACGGGAATGGCATGACCCTCACATAGTCATGATGGAAACTGGGAGCTACGTTCCTTTCTCCTGCAAGACCGAGGGGGATTGCCACAGCCTGTACTCCCTGAGCCACAGGTTTCCTGTCAGAGAATCACAAAATCATTTAGGTTGGAAATGACCTCCAAGATCATCAGGTTCAACCCTTCCCCCAGCACTGCCAAGCCTACCACTAATCCACGTCCCCAAGTGCCATATCCACGCAGCTTTTAAATCCTTCCAGCGATGGGGATCCACCGCAGCCCTGGGCAGCTGTGGATCTTCTTTCCATGAAGAAATTTTCCCTAATATCCAATCTAAACCTCCCCTGGCACAGGTTGAGGCCATTTCCTCTTTTCCTGTCACTTGTTCCCTGGGAGCAAAGCCCAACCCCCACCTGGCTCTCCCGTCCTGTCAGGGAATTGCAGAGAGCGAGAAGGTCCCCCCTGAGCCTCCTTTTCTCCAGGCTGAGCTCCCCCAGCTCCTTGAGCCCTCCATGCTTCTGCCTGGTGTCTGCAGGTGGACTGAGCTGTATCACACTCTACCTCATGCAGGCTGGACCCAATCCAGAGTGAGAGCTCCTTGATCCTGGCAAGATCCCAAGCATGCTTTGGTACCACCCCTCCAGTGTCTGGGCTTAGGGATTTCCCTAACTGAGCCTTGAAGGCTTGTGGATCTGGGATGGAGAACAGACGCAGACATGCTGAAACAACCATGACACACTTGCTGAGAGGGAGCACCAGGAGCTAACTGGAGAGCTTTCACAATGTGAGTCACTCTCCGAGCTCCATCTCATGGCATGTTAAGCAGTGAGAATCAAAGACTGAAAATGCAGGGCATGTCTTGCCCTACAGAAACACCATCAAACCACTTTACTTTTTAAGTAATGATTTGCTATTGATTATGTGCATGACGATGAGGCAGCTCCCTACCTCTCCTGCCAATTTCCACACTCAATCCCATTACAAGCGGGTGCCAGAGTAGAGACATCTCTAACAGGGCCGAGTTCCTGCTCTCAGGAGGGAATAAACTTGGCACACTAGAAACCTGTTGGGAAATGTCTGAGAGTATTTGAGTTGACCAAAGACCTCCATACGTACCAGTGGAACAAGCATGGCAACAACACGGGGTGCTCACATCCTCCTGAACCTATAAACCAAGTCCAGCTGCCACCAGAGCTGCCAAGCGTGCCTCGGAGAGCTAAGAAGGGAACACAGTCTAGGAGCAGGGTGCTCTCACAGCATGGTTCCCAGGTGCTGTGGTGCATTCAGGGTCAGTGATCCTTCCTGCCTTGGGAAAGCGAGCCAAGATCCCAGGATGACCACAGCACAGGCAGGGATGTAGTCCCACTGAAGAGGATTGGCAGGGCCAGTTGCTGGTGAAAAGGAACTACCAAGTGTCCCTGGCAAGGTGAGGGGATGAAGTGGTTCCAGGATCCACTTGGAAACAGCAAGAGGAGGACTGGAAGCAAGGCTACAGCGTAGGTATGGCACTGATCCAAGATACAGGATTCCAGGCGGGACTACAGCTGTCCTAAAACACAGCTCAGGTGAGGCACCCAGAGTTTAATTAGAGCCCCTGTACCAATGAGTGGAGGGTCCATGGGTGGAGGTGAGGTTGGCCAGGGAAATTAAAACCCATCGGTGCACTCGGGACCCTGAGACAACTAAATGCAAAGTGGAGCAGGAAAAGTTATATTCCTGTTTTATCAATTTCCAATCTCAGGCCAAGGTCTTCCTTGGCTTTGTCCCACCTCAAGTTTGCCTGTGGCTGGGCAGAGGGAGAAAACAACCACAGGCAGATCCAAAGCATCACTTCGTGCCTCGCGACAGCCTTGTCCAAAGCTCCCATCCCTCACAGCCTCTTGCCTGCTGTGCTGGTGAGTGTTTGCCAGACGAAGGCGTGAGGGAATCCTTAACACCCTTCAGTCTCGTGTCACTCACTCTCTCCAAGATGCTTTTCGCTGCAGTGGGTTTGGGTGCTTGTATCCGCCTTGAGGGATTTTTGAAGGCAGGAGACGTAGAGGGAAGATCAGGAGGTAGCATCACGTTGTTCCTGTCAGCGTGTTTTACACAAGCTTGTTGTTTCAAAAATAATCAGGTGCTAACTCCGGATCTAGAGAACAAGCTAAAGTTTAGAGGTGTTTCATTCCTCTGGATGAAAAAGATCCCAAATCCTGTCTCTGATTTTTGTTAGGAATACACATTCCTCCATCAACAAACTCACAGTAGCTGCTCCTACCCTTCCTAGTTTAAACCTTCCCTTTGAATCTAAAAATATGCTACTAGTGAAGGATTTCAATGAAAACAGGAGATTTTTGACCAATTAAGGCGCTCAGAGTCAGATCCCAGGCTGGGTCAGCTGCTAGCAACGGTTTTACCGGGTATTAGATGAGAGATCCCAGGCAGGATTGCTGTGCCAGGCTCTTCCACCTGAAACAGATGGATTGCTGACCAACAAACCCTAAAGGAACATCTTGAAATGGTGCTTCATTGAAAACATTTGATGAAAATCCTAGAAAATACAGTGCAAATGTGCTGGGGATGTTCTAAATGCACACGGGAAGGCTCTCCCTGAATAGCTGATATTGAGGGTGAAGCCTCAACTGCTCAGAACTGAAGCTGACAGTGTTCTTCCATGACTCAGCATCGTGCTGACTGCACTCGGGGACCCAGTGGGAAAGCACGGAAGCCTGATGACAGGGTAGGAAACCAGATGAAATAAAAACAAATTGTGATTGTTGGCTAGGTCTGACTTAGGGGGAAAAAAAAATTAAAATCTCGAATGCCCAAAACATCCTGACAAAAAAAAAGGCAAAAAAACCCCCAAAACCAAACCCCAACAAAAAAATCTGATGTCCTTTAGATGATTAAACCTTTAAAGGAGACTTCTTGCTATCCAAATTTCATGGAGTAAGCTGAATTTAGGTGTGCTCTTTGCCTGTTTTGTCCGCAAATCATAATTTTTTCCCTCAGAACCCAACCCTTGGGAGGCTGAGCAGGGATATGGGACCATCTGCAGGTTTTGTCAAATTGGCTTCAGGGATGGTGTCGGTGTGACAATACACAGGGCAGGTGGCATCCGAAGCCTGTGATCCACATGAACACGGAAACCAATCCTCTCAGGAAGCTGTTTTTCTCACTGGAAAACGCAGGCGGAGAGAGAAAATTAGGAAGGGGATGCAGAGAGGATCCAGAGCTGCTGGATCCCTGTGGGACCATGGCAGTGCCGTCAGCCACGCCCCACCCCACCATGCCCTTGCCTGTGAGGGGTCTCTAGGGGTCTCGCAGTGGAGTAGCATCGTTTTCCGTATTTCAGTTTTTTTTATCCACACCTAAGGGTTTATTTGTCTGGAATTACCAAATAGGCCAGGACACGAGAAGTGGGCCCATGGGAAACTCTGAGGTTTAGCAAAACCAAGTTCTGGTGTTGCTCCTGGGGCAGCCCCTGGATTAATCCAGGCTGGGGATGGACAGACAGAGGAGCCCTGGGGAGAAGGTCCTGGGGGTGCTGGTGGGGCAGAGGCCCAGCCCACAAACCCCCCGTGCCCTGGGCTGATCCCACAGCGTGGGCAGGGGGGGATTTCTGTCCCTCTGCCCCCTCAGGTGAGACCCCCCTGCAGAGCTGCCCCAGCCCTGGGAACAACAGCACAGGGACGGGGAGCTGCTGGAGAGAGCCCAGAGGAGGCCACGGAGATGCTGCCAGGGCTGGAGCCCCTCTGCTCTGGAGCCAGGCTGGGAGAGCTGGGGGGGTTCCCCTGGAGAAGAGAAGGCTCCAGGGAGACCTGAGAGCCCCTTGCAGGGCCTAAAGGGGCTCCAGGAGAGCTGGAGAGGGACTGGGGACAGGGATGGAGAGACAGCACAAGAGGGAATGATTTCCCAGTGCCAGAGGGCAGGGTTAGATGGGACACTGGCTGTGAGGGTGGGGAGGCCCCCGCCCAGGTTGCCCAGAGAAGCTGCGGCTTCCCTTGGATCTCTGAAGTGTCCAAGGCCAGGTTGGACGGAGCTTGGAGCAACCTCGGGTACAGTGGAAGGTGTCCCTGCCCACGGCAGGGGGGGGGGAGTGTGTAACGAGATGATCTTTAAGGTCCCTTCCAACCCAAGGCATTCCGCGGTTCTCTGACACCACACAACAACCCCTGCCCGCCCCACGACCCCCGCACCCCTGAGGGGGGCACCGAGACCCCGGGGCGGCGCCGCCGCCGCGCTCCCCTCAGGCGGTCCCGCCCCCGCCGCGCCGCCATTGGCCGAAACCCCCCTCCCGCGCGCTCCCATTGGCCGCGCCGCCCGCCCGTCCGCCGCGGTTTGTTTGGTCGCGTGGACCTGTCAAACCCGGCGGGGGGCGGTGGGGGAGGCGGAGGGAGAGCGTGTGTGTTCCCCCGCCCGTCCCACGTGGCAGCGCCCGGCGCCCCGACGGGGCGGGCGGGACCCCAGCCCCCTGCCCGGTCCGTGTCACCCCCGGCGACACGGGGAGGGGAGCGGGGCCAGCGACATCCGGGCCCTTGGCTGGCACCGCCGCCGAGCCGCCGGCACGGCAGCCGCGGGTCAGCGCGGCCGGACGGGGCGGGCGGTGCCGCCGTGCCCCCTCGCCGTGCCGTGTCCGCCGCCAGCCCTCCCCACCCCGGGGTGCGCGGGAGCTGCCGCGCCCCGCCCTGTCCTGCCCCGTCCCGTCCCGTCCCGTCCCACGGCGGGGGCGATGCTCCCCCACGCCCTGCGCCGCCCGCGGCTCCCTCGCTGCTGATTCGCTTTAGACGGTGAGTTCTGGTTTTATTTTATTTTATTTTTTTTTTCTTCTTTATTTAGTATTTTAAGAAATGCTCAGTTTTCCTCCCGCTCGGCCCTGCCAGGATTCCCGGTTGGGAAGTGGGGTGTGGGGTCCCCGCCTGCTGCCTTCGCCGACGGAGGTGGACCAAGGGGGTGTCTCCCCCGCTCCGTCCCCCCCGTCCCTCCCTCCGTCCCTCCCGGTGCCCTCGGACTGTGCCCGGTTCTCCCGGTGTTCCCCGAGCTGCGGCAGCATCGCGCAGAGGCAGCACCGGGCGCTCCCGTTTTCCAGGTCGGATATTCCCCTCTTCCTGCGTGCCAATTGACCGTAATAATTACTATTTTAAATTGAGCAATTATTGTTAATTTTTACTGCTTTTTGGCGATTAGTTAACACTAGCAATTTTTATCGTATTCCCTTGGATTGTGGCAAAACTTTTGCCCGAGTTCCCGCTGCCCGCGGTCGCTCGCCGTGCCGCTGATGCGGCCCCGCGGAGCGCTCACTGACATGCGGGATCAACTTAGGGATCGGCTTTTACTTGTAGTGAGGGGTGGGATGCGCGGGGTAATCCCGTCCCGTCCCGTCCTGTCCCGTCCCGTCCCGTCCCGTCCCGTCCCGTCCCATCCCATCCCATCCCATCTCATCCCATCCCTCCTCTCTGCACCTCGCAGCGGGGCAGCGACCCGACGGCTCGGGGTCCCCCCGGTGCTGGAGAGCCCTCCCTGGCGGGTTTTAATCCCGGTTTTTATCCCGGTTTTTTGCCCGAGCTTGCGTGAACTCGGAGGCGGCTGTGGCTCCTGCCCAGCGTTGGGGTGGCACCTCGGGCGAGGCGTTGTCCCCGCTGGTGCTGAAGGAGCTCCGCGCTGTGTCACCGTGTCCCTTAGGTTCGCCTGGCGCAGGATCATCCCGCGGATAGCCCCTCATCCCGGCGGCAGCGGCGAGCCTGGGCGATGCGGTACGTGTCCTGCTGCGGGGGGAGCGGGGCTGCCCGGGGGAGAGGGGTGTGCGGGGTTCGGTGCTCAGGGACTGGCGGGCTTGGTGGAAGTATCCCTGGGATGGGCTGAGCTCGGGTTGTGGGGAGTGTGGGGGGAGCATCCCTGGGATGGTGTTAACTCCAGCGTGGGGAGTGTGTGTGTGGGGGAGCATCCCCGGGATGTGCTCATCCTGGGCGTGGGGAGTGTGGGGTGACCATCCCTGGGATGTGCCCTGTGTGGTGCCTGCATCCCTGGGATGTGCTCAGCCCTGGGGTGTGGGGAGCGTGGGGGGAGCATCCCTGGGATGTGCTCAGCGAAGGGTGAGCATCTGAGGGATGTTCTAAGCCTGGATTTGGGGAGTGTGGGGTGAACATTCGTGGGATGTGCTCATCCTGGGTGCAAGGAGTGTGGGGTGATCACCCCTGGGATGTGCTCAGTGTGGGGTGAGCACCCCTGGATGTGCTTACCACGAGTATGGGGAGCGTGGGATGATCAGTCCTGGGATGTGCCAGCAAAACATCCCTGGGATGTGCCCGGTGTGGGGTGGGCATGCCTGGATGTGCTCACCCCCGGTGTGGGGAGCGTGGGGCGAGCAGCCCAGCTGGCGTGGGTGCTTTGCCACCTCCCTCCCCATGGCAGCAGCCTTGGCATCCCCAAATTTCCCCGCTGTCCCCTGGCCACACGCGCTGTGTGGCAGGAGGGGGAGCTCGCACCGTGCCGGCTGAAAAGGACGGGGATCTGGGCAGGACAGGGGTCCCTCTGCCCTGAGCAAGGGGAACCCCCTCCTCTGAACCCCCCCCCCTTTCCACCAGCCCTCCCCGCAGCTCCGGTGCTGAATTTCCTCCAAGCCCTCCTACCCATATTGTGCTATTGATTGCTGAGCTGAACTTCCTCCCGAAATCATTAAAGCTTAAAAAATTGATGGCACAATAGAGCCCTTTATTAGCCACATAACTTTTCTTGCTTTCTTCCTTTCTTCTTAGATGTTTTTTTTTTTTTTTTTTTTTTAATCAACACAAAAGGGCAGAGCCTGAGCTCGGATTTGTGTCCTGCGTCCCTGTGAGAGCTGGGCAGCATGCCCTCCTCCACCCCAGCTGCCCACCAGCACAGCCGTGCCGGGCTGTTTATTAGGAAAAATGGCAAAGATGGAATCGATGCGTGCAGGTTTATTGTGGTTGGGTTTTTTGTTGTTGTTGTTGTTTTTCTTTTCTTTTCTTTTAATCCCAGCCCCCTCTCTTTGCAGCCTGCAGATAGGTCTATTTACTCCTGCTCTGGTAAATAAAAATATTTGAATGGGGTCTGTAATATTTTATTCCCTGTCGTGCCTGTCCTTCGGTCTAATGATGGCTGAGTTCTTGCTCGGTATTAACTTACCATTTTAGTAACAGTTGAGTTTTCCTAAAGAAATCCCTCTGGGCTGACCATTACTGTGTCATTGTATAACACAGCAGAAAGATGGATTACCTGGATGGATCTCCTCCAGCGTGACTTCACCGAGTGACAGGCTTCAGCTAATTTATCCCCACTCCCGTTGCAACTGTTGGGATGGGGTTTATAGCTTCTAGGAAATATTTGCAGTGTCTCAGGGCATGCAATTGTAAATACAGGCACTGATTTGCCAGGTGGGAGTGTTGGCAGCATCCTTCTTCATGGGAAGCCCCAGCTCCTGGAGTCAAGTTAACCCCTACGAGTTCTTCTTTAGCGGGGGAATAGAAAGTTTTCACTTCTTCTGGTTATTCAGAGAGGTGTCTGAGTGTGTCTGGGTGGAGGAGAAAGGAAGAAGCTGGAAAAAAACCAGTATGTTTATGTGTGTGAGTGTGTATGCGTGTTAAAAAAACAAATCACACGGTTTCGAAGCCAATATAACATTTTGTTGAAGGATCCCTTAGCAATCCTGTGCTGGAGCAGGGATTGAAAGTCACGTAGAGGGGACACTGCCTCGCTGTGTGGCCTTGGGCCAGTCATTTATCTTCTCTGCTGCAGTGTCAGTATCTTAGGAGTGTGGCTGCCTGTGCTGCCCCATTTTCTGCTGGCCCTGTCTCAATGCTGCACGCTCGCCCTGTCCTCCTCACCGCAGTTTTCGTGTGGCACCCTGTTAGTTCTAAGGTGCTGCTTCAGGGTGGACACCCCTAAGTGCAAAACACCCCTCCCCACAAAATGCTTCCCTGCCAGGAGGGGAGCAAGAGGTGCATCCCTCCGTGCTCCCTTGTTTTCAGAAAAGCATCAGCTTGGCTCTGGGTAGAGCTGTCCACCCTGTGAGCCCCCAGTTTGTCATCCCTGTGGAATATTGCGTGCTGCTGCCGAAAATGATGGAGCTCTAGGACAAGAATGGCTCAGAGGGGTTTGTGTTTGCAGATGACACTGAGCCGAGTGCAGCTGACGTGCCTGAGGGATCGGATGCCATCCAGAGGGACCTGGACAAGCTCGGAAAGTGGGCCCAAGTTCAGCAAGGCCAAGTGTGAGGTCCTGCACAGGGATTGGGGCAGCCTCTGGGACCAATCCTGGTGGATTCTGTCCAACCCCCTTGCCATGGGCAGGGGCATCTTCCACTAGACCAGGTTGCTCCAGCCCCATCCAACCTGACCCTCAACAGTTTCAGGGATCCAGGGGCAGCCACAGCTCCTCTGGGCAACCTGGGCCAGGGCCTCACCACCCTTACAGCCAACAATTCCTTCCCAATATCTCATCTAACCCTTCCCATTGGCAGTGGGAAGCCATTCCCCCTTGTGCTGTCCCTCCATCCCTTGCCCCCAGTCCCTCTCCAGCTCTCCTGGAACCCCTTTAGGCCCTGCAAGGGGCTCTCAGGTCTCCCTGAAGCTTTCTCTTCTCCAGCTGAATACTTCCAGCTCTCCCAGCCTGGCTCCAGAGCAGAGGAGCACCTTGGAGCATCTCTGTGGCCTCCTCTGAACTCGCTCCACATCCTTCTTGTGCTGGAGACCCCAGAACTTGACCCAGGACTCCAGGAGGGGTCTCACCAGGACAGAGCAGAGGGGCAATTATGCCTTATTAACAAAGGTCTGAGTGTACCTGGTCTGGGGTTTTGCAGTTACCAAAATCAGGTGCCTGAAGACATGTTTAGGCAGCTAAATCCAAGTGAAACCCTCCTCCTTCCTGGCTTGCCCAGGGCATCCCTGCAGTCTCAGGCCCTGTCCCACTGCAGCTGCACACTCTCCTCAGCAGTGAGGACTCTCTGTTCTCTTCTCTTGCCACGCTCCAGAAGCTTATACAATTTTTTTGGCGCTTTTCCCCGAAGTCATTATTCTGGGTTACATGGTTTGTTTGTTTATGCTTTTTGGTTTTAATCATACTTTTTTTTTTTTTTGAATTTATTTATTGTGTCTGAAAAGCTCCAGGGCTTCCTTTCCACTCCCCACTCCCAGATGGTAGCCTGTAAAAAAAAAAAAAAAAAAAAAAAAAGGAAATATTAGAATAAAAAAGGAAATGGTTTGGTTCTGGAATGAATGAAGTTTGGCTTTTCTAGAGAGGATGTGGGAGAGAAAAAGAGGTGGGGGAGAAAGAAGTCTCAGGTGTGTTTGCAGGGAAGGGTGTGCCCTGCCATGTGTTTTAAGCTCTGCTGGGTCTGTGCCACTCGTTTTACAGCACTGCTATGAAAAGGGATCCGGGTCGTGCTTTGCCTTTAATCTCACCATGACCAGCTCAAAGGAAAAAAAAACACTCCCTCTTCTGATGAATCTGTTTCATTTACTTAATGAGATCTCAGTTCTCCATTCTTGTCGTTGGGAGGAGATGCCTTGGCTTATTTACCTTATTTAGCTAAGCTGGTTGGTCTGAAAGGGTTTTCTTGGGTGGTTTTTTTTTTTTTTTGGAAGGAGGAAGGAGCAGGCGAGTGGGGAGCAGTGGGGCTTGTCAGGCTGCCGGTTTCCCTCTCCAGGGGGTTCTCCAGGTGCAAAGGGAGTTGCTCCAAGAGCAGGGCTCAGAGGAAAGGCTTCAAAGGGTAGGGTGACGCTGTCTGTCCAGGTGGCAAGGACAAGGCAAGGACAACCTGCTGCTGTTGCAGGTTGGGGTACAATTCCCAGGGAGCAGGACTGGGCTGTTGCAAGTCCAGCCACTGCTTCTGCACTGCACACCAGCAGCAGGGCTGGCATGCTGTCTTGGGGTACTTATGGAGCAGAGGAGAGATGTGGGGTGGCAGCATCTCATCCTGCTGGTCCAGCACTGGGGCATGTGCTTCTTACTCCTGCAGGAATGCAGGTCTCCAGGGCAGCTGGAGAGGCTGTCACAGCCAGGACAAGTAACGAGGACAAGAGGAAACAGCCTCAAGTTGCGTGAGAGGAGGTTTAGGTTGGATATCAGTGAAAATTTCTTCACAGAAAAGGCTGTCAAATGTTGGCACAGGCTGCCCAGGGCAGCGGTGGAGTCCCCATGCCTGGAAGGATTTAAAAGCCATGTGGATGTGGCATTTGGGGACACGGGTCAGTGGTGGCCTTGGCAGTGCTGGGGGAACAGTTGGTCCCAATGACCTTGGAGGGCTTTTCCAGGCTAAACTATTCTGTAGGTCTTTGATCTGGGACTGGCTTTGCAGGGGCCTGACCTGCTGACCTTTAGCTGCTCTTGTCATGGTCTAGGTCATCTCAATATGAAAGATCTGTCTGAGACCTTTTATTCTGCCTAAGGTGGGGTTCCCTCCTGGTTAGTCACTTAGATGGGTGCCCTGTCAGTCAGAGCTCTCTTTCTGTGTGTTTTGCTGGGGTTCTCCATGGGATCTGGGGACATCATCTGGCTCTACATCCCTTCCCCACCGACACCAACCATCATGCTTCCTGTCCTTCTGTGTGGTCTGCAGAGCCAGTGCTGCCTCTTGCTGCTTCTGTCAGGCTGCATATTGATGGCATGGCCTCAGTCATGGCTGGCACCTGAATGAATTACTGCAATACAAATAAATAAGAAAAAGAGAAATAGTATTTGCAAGAGCAGCGGGTTGGAGCTCTAACATTTATGCAGGGCCATTCATCAGAAATGA